ATTCGTCCTGTGAAGACTGGACTGGACTGGACTGAACTGAACTGAACTGAACTGAACTGAACTTCAAGGTCAAGTCGATTTTGTGCGATTAAGGTTTATCGCGTTAGTGGGGTGTTAACGTTACACGTCGTCGGTCGCAATCGTCCGGACATGGCTACGGGTGAGTTATTTAGCAATTTCTTCGTTTCTTACGTCAAAGGGAAGAATATGATGTTTCACTGTAGCTTGCAGAGTAAAAGAAATAGCACAGCGACACAGTAGTATTGGAAGCCACAAGAACAGCCAACAACACATCAATCTTGACGCAAGATTGGCCCGGGCCGCACATCGTCCTGTACAAACTGAACTGAACTGAAGTTATATGTGGGAAATCATTTACCTTACCAATTACACTGAAAAAAACAGGAAAGTGACCAAAATAAGGGGTGGGGGGGGGTCCTCACGGATAACGTACGGCATGGGGCACTCGTGCCTCATGAACCTCCCGTTTCCCGGACGACGTGACACAAGATAGAACGTTAAGAGGTTGAGTGGAAGTCTGCTACCTAAAATTTCTATTGGCTTTTAACTTGGTCCACCGTAGGTTGCTGATGCGGAAGCCTTGGCGGTTTGAATTGACACATTTCTCTTTGTTTTTGCTGCTTATTATTGATAGTAATGGTGGTAGTTTTCGGAAGGAAGAAAGTGCGCAATCACGGGGTTGCCATAACATACAAAATGTCAGGCTGTTGTAGGATTCAACACAGCTGTTTTAAAGCAACGGTCTTGAAGTCTTGCAGTATTTCACGGGTTCTAGGCTAAGCCCAATGAATCTTGGAAAATTGTCGGTTTTTGATTGATGAATGATGCCCGCTGACGAGAATTTGAGAGCACTGCAGGCTAGTGAGGATGATTGAGATGGGGAATCAGGTTAATACAAGGAAGAACCTGAANAGTATCTGCTTGCAGTGCACAAATATGCGCATCTGGATAGTGATTAAAATTCGACATAAAGCACGCTTAGAGAAGTTTATGACGCATAGTTTTCAAAGGGTGTTTTGTTTTTATACGTTTTCGTTTTGTTTTGGGGTTTGTTTTTTGTATGCACAAAAATACACAACAACAACAACAACAATTATGACTCAATGCAGTCGAGATAAATGCATTTGAAACGAGAAAGTGGTGAATGGAGGGATAGATTAACAGACCGAGAGGGAGCAGCTGATGGAAGTTGATGGAAGCGTGTTNGTTTGGACATACTCTTTGGAGGCGCGTCAATGACCTCCTGCGGGAGGCTGTTCCATAAAGGAATGACTCTATGGGTAAAGAACCTGTGACGAACTCAAGTACGGGGCCGAGGCTTAAACAGATTTTTGCTGTGACTATGAAGGGTGTCTAAGCTACTGGGGGTGAAAAACTGGTTGACCGTGTCCGCAGAAAATAAGTGGTAAAGAAGGAAAGGGTCCGCTCGAACGCGGTGGTAATTTGCATGCGAAGCAGGAGTTTCTTACCCATGGGAACTCCGAAGTGGAGTTTCACGAATCCAATCCTGGTTCTATTGTATATTAGTGACCTAGTGTATGCAACGGAGAATACGTATCGTATGCCTCGGCAATGTGTACATGTTAGGAGGCCTTGACTGAGGCCATCCAAAAGGACCCAAGTAACATCCCTTGAATTCCATCAGATAACGAAAAAGACCTTAAGTTTGTGAGAAAAGACTGTATTAAAGGCATTAAGGCCCAGCCCGGCTTCAAACCTAGTGTACAATGCAGACAAGCAGCCCGAAAATTACTCAGCTCTCTACAAATTGAAGAGAACAGTGAGCTTCAGAGGGCCCCAGATCGTACTAACGCTGTACAACCATTTCGTACGTCCCCATCTGCTGTATTGCGTTCAGGTCTGGAGTCCATATCGAGTTGGGAATATAAAAATTCTTGAGAAGACGCAGCAAAGTTTTACCCAATGGTTCTCGGAACTGAGGAACCTAGAATGAGGACAGGCTGAGACGGTTGGATCTCTTTCTTGTTCGATGCATTCTCAAACACCCAACGACTTCTAAGCTAACTGTTTGGCTCCTCAGGCTTGGTACTCTCTGTATGGGGATATATATATAACCGTTAGTGACTTTGGGAACCACATGGTGTATGGATACAGTATCTTCTTTCCCGTTAGGGAAATGGATATGGGCGTAGTTGGGGTTACACTGGAGTAATTCAACGTCGTCAACCAGAGGCTCGGTTTTTTTAATCTTATGGGGTGACACATTAAGACAAGTCCAGGGATATTGAACCAAGTTGGTATAGCTACTCCTGATGCAGATCTGCGATGATGAGAAAACAATCGCTCGTGAGGGGTCGCATAGTTGTGATCTAATGGATTGGACAGCTTTGGGAAGAATAGATTCCCATTTAATACAACACCTTTCGATTGCGCTGCGAGAGCGATATTCTTCCGAAGGGTCCCGTTTAGGCTCTCAACTTGTCCGTTTGAGCGAGGATTGTAGGCTGTTGTTCTGTTGGAGACAATGCCATTATTGTGAAGGAAATCCTCAGCTCCTCGGACATGAAGTACGAACCCCTATCAGAATGGATGTAGGAAGGTATACTGAAGATCGACAATAAATTGATAAAACACCGGATGACTGTAGCAGCGGATAGGTCAGACCAAACGGGAATCAAGAATACTCGTCTGCAATCGTCAACTAGCATCGGTTTCGAGATTCCGACGGCAGCGGACCTTCAAAATCAGCCTCTCAAATGATGCAGTGGCTTTGATCAAATTTCCGATAGAAATTTACAGAACTGCGGTTTCCATCTAGCACAGATTGAGCAGCCTCTGATGGCAGATTTTATTTCATTGACAGAGTAGGAGAGATTTTTAGTTCGAACAAAATGAAGCATTCGCACGATTCCCACATGACACAGTTAGTGATGCAGCTGTTTGAGTAGTTCGAGTGATGTAGACACCGAGCTGAAGCTTCGAGACAATGCGTCAGGTGCCACGTTTTCATGTCCGGGCGATAAATAACATGGAAGCTGTAGCATGATGGTTTGGTTCTCCATCTCTGAATTTTATCATTTTTAGTTTCACCGTGTGGTCTCTAATCGAACATAGGTGGTGTCTGAAAAGCATTTGACTGTTGTTGTGCCATTTCCAGTGATCGAGCTAGTTCTAAGGCGGTCGGTAGGTTTAGACATCCGTTTTCAAGAAGACGCTGTTGCACAACGCTTGACTGCGTCTCATTTATGAAGGCATCTCGTATGGCGTTATGCTGATTTTGTTCCGCCGTTGCGGTCTTGAAGTTACCATCCTTGGCTAACGATTTGAGCTTTGAAAGAAGTTATCGAAATTTCGCCCTGGTTCCTGTTTGCATTTGGTCAGTAGATACCGGGCGAACACCTCATTTAGCGGTTTGATAAACAGCTTTTCCAGGGTTTTCACAGCTTCACTGTACGATGTGCAATCCGCGACATAGTTATAGATACTTGAAGAAATGTAGTTGTAGAGAAACTCCAATTTTTCGGGATACTCAACCCCAATTTTATTAAGAAATCTGTGCAAGGTACAAAACCAGTGCCGCCATACTTTCGGGAAATTAGGAGTGTTCGGGTTTGTACCGAGTCTTTCCTGTCGGAGGTAGCGTTCTATTTTCAGATAATTTTTATGTTCGCTGATAGGGCAGAGCACATGACCACCTAGGACAGTTCCCGATGCGTTTTCCAACATGAGCGTTAAAATCACCTGCAAGAATAATCATATCGGAGCTTCGGTTCAACCGAATGAGTTCGGCAGGTTTACCACAAAAGTCGTTCTTTTGTGCGTCAGAGCTGCATTTGTTCGGTGCAACACTGAAATGATGCTCAAACATCTTTTGGTGTTGCTTCCCTTCCGGACGCTGATAGACCCTTGCAGCCACATCGCACATAAGCAGCTGTTGACGGGGATCCAATCGAGTATTGCGGCTTGGGCTGTATTATTGGGTACAATACCCAAGTCACCTGACGCGCGGAGGAAGAACCTCGAAGACAACCCCGGTGTACTTAAGTGGCTTATAGTACCATTACTCTGGATTCGCGTCTCCGATACGCAGCAGACATCAATTTCCACAGTCCATTGTGCGCGTCAGACACGCTCGTTGACCTACCTGCATCGGATTCTTTACGTTGAAGGACCCAAATTCAGTGATTGACGAGGCGTCAGAATCCGCAACCTTTTTTGTGGTGAACTACTAACCGGGCTCATTGGCGACGAACTTCGGCAACTAACGAACAAGTTGTGTGAGGGAACGTTACGGGTTGGACGAAGGGGTAAAGGGATAGGGTTGGGTACGGAAGACAAAGAGTTGAACAACGGTTGGGATATCTGAGCCGTAGCCCACTTATCACTACCCACCCCAATCGATGCAATGGGCCGCGTGGTCCTAATTATCCTGCGCGACGACCGATGCAGTATGAAATTATTTTTATTTTGTATATGCATTGAGGTTTGGTGGACGGGTACTGCTAGGGTGTCCAACCACTAAGCAGGAGGACGATTAGGGTTCTCGTCCAAAGCCTTTAGTTCTAACAAGAACCTAATCGCAAGGCAGCGGGTGAGGCAAAGTGGAGGCCCATTTACTTGGATCGTTTACTCCTCCACCGCTTTTTATCGATTGAAACGCCAAATTCCAGGCGAACCATCAACCTGGAGGACCAGGAGACTGAAATGATATCCAATTGGTGGCGCAGACAGGATGCATCTCCTAAGGTTTGGTAGTTGGAAGAAGAAGTGGGCAGATGAGAAAGATGGTGTTCCAAATGAGTACCTCAGACTTGGGAAACGACATACTTTGCGGTAGCCCACACCGAATAAGTTTTTTTGGGTCCCCTAACCGGAGCCTTTGAATCAAAAGTGTGACCCATAAGGCAGTGGGTTGTAGATTCAACGCGGGAGCGTGAACGACGAACCCGTGTGAGACCTCTGGATTTGGGTTCAGTGTGTTCGCTGATTAACGGTCAGCTGCTCGGGATCAGCCCTTAGCCTCATGCACTCTATGAGACAAGCGGGGCGCGGACGGGACAGCACCCTATTGGCTGGGAGCTGCCCATCTTGGGCCGACCACCGCCACCCAACTTTGGTGATAGATAGCTTTGCTGTCTTCCGTGTCAATACCACGCTCAACCTAGCGGGGCTTTATGTGGTTCGACACTCCAAGTCCCGGGGCTTAGGCTACTGATTTCCATCAATGAACAGTAGGTCTTCGTAACTATGGGGTCCACCCTGTCTGCTGTTTATCACAAAAGTGTGTAATACTTAAAAAACTGGCGAAAAAGCACTTCCATCATGTGATCGTAGGTAAGGCTTCCTCTACAAAGGCTACTTGTAACGCGTAGTCCCATAAGAGCTGCACTCTTCTTTCCATACCATTTAAGAAGAAGTTTTTCCAAGATTGGCTGACTTCAATTTTAGTCCCCGTTCCAAAAAGTGACAGATTTAGATGCGAAAATTACAGAGGTGTTAGTCTCATTGATATTGCGGCCAAATTGTTTGCAGTGGTATTGCTTAATCGCTTCGCAGTC